GCCTGACCGACCTCGCGCGCCGCTCGGAATTTGGAGAGTCATTCACCGCCGCTCCGAGGGCGCCGCGTCAGGCTGGCCGGGCCCGCCCCGAAACCCTGCATCCTTCCTTTCTCCGGGGTGCCGGGAGCACGCGGGACCTCAGGTGGCAGTTTAAGTCCTGGAAACGCCTGTGGCCGTGTTACACTCAGATCGGAGGACTTGGATTCCTTCATGCAGGTGGCCTAACAGAGTGGCCGCTGGAGTTCAAATGCTGGCTCCTGACCTAGGCTCAGGGAACCCTAGTGCCTCATCTGTAACGAGTTACAAATCAAGTGGATTCTAACCCAGGGCGTCCCCGTGTGTGCAAGTAGAACTGCTCCATGGCGCCTTCGACCTCTCCAGACAAAATGGCCAGGCCTTTCTTCTGACACACTTCAGGGTAGGTTCAAACGCCAGTCTTTCAGCTAATCTAGCATTTAACAACTTTCTGCTCATACCTGAGCAGTGTCTTCTTTACTTCTTATTGCTGTTATTAAGCGCTATCAAGTCCACTGAAACTCATCGCGACCCTGTGAACAACGGATCTAAACCCAGGCCTGACGTGCAGGACCCTCACCCTCTCCGGAGCGCACTGTGGTAATCACTGGATCAGTCCGTCTCATTGGGAGTCATCCTGTCTTTCTTTCCCACCGTGATGACTTTACCTCTAAGGACTGGTTCCTTCCGGAAATAATGGCCAGTGTGAGATGAAGTTTCACCATCCTTGCCTCTAACAAGCACTCTGTTTGCGCTGCCTTCAAGTCACATGTGTTTGTTTTTACTCTTTTCCAGCGACTCCAAATGCTTCCAGTGCGACTGTAACAGAAATACCATAAGTGGCTTTAACAAATTTATTCTCTCACAGTGTAAGACCTTTTGGTGGTACATACCATTGAGTCAAAATCAACCCATAGCTGACCCTCCAGTGGGTTTTCAGAGACAGTAAATTGCACGGGAGGAGACTACCCATCTATCTCCTGCAAAGCAGCTGGTGGATTCAAACTGTAAGCCTTTGGGTTGGCAGTGGAGCTCTTTGCCACTAAGCCACCAGAGCTCCCTGAGGAGGCTTGTTTGTAAGTGCTATGGAGTCAAGTATGACTCATAACAACTCTGTGAACTACAGATCTGAACGCTGTCCTATCCTGTGCCATCCTCATCATCTCTGACACACTTGAACCCATTGCCACAGTCACTGTGTCAGTCCATCTAGTTGAGGGTCTTCTCTTTTGCTGACCCTCTATCTTTATAATGATGGAAAGATATTTTCCACTGGTGTCCCTTTCCAAAGAATAGCCCCTCCTAAATATATGCCAATGCGTGTGAGACAAAACTTCGTCATCCTTGCCTCCATGAGGTATTCTGGCTGTACTTTCTCCAAGACATACCTGTTTTGTCTTGGATTTTGTTTGTTTGTTTGTTTTGTTTTGGCAGTCCATGGGGTATTCAGCACTCTTCTCCAACAGCACAACTCACAGGCCTTGATTCTAAAAGTTCTAATTCAGGCTGCTAGGTCTAGGAAAAGACTTTCTGTGGTTAGCTCTGAGGGAGGTCTTTGTCTCCTTCCAGTATCTATTGGCTTCAGATCCCTGTATGCCTTGCCATGAGTCTTCCCCTGGGGTCTGGAAGGTTCTTAGTGCAAAGATCCAAGGTCCAAAGGATGGGTTCTTTTTTCTTAGTAGGACTGTTATGTGTGGTTGACACCCTGGCTTTGGCCTTTCTCTCCCAGCCGAAGAATTCAAATGAATGGGAGAGACTAGAATAGAAGATGTCTGAGTTACAAAAGTAGCACAGAGAAAGCCATTTTAATGGCTCTTAAAAGAGCCGTTTTTGGTATACAGCAAGTGTGGAGGCTCTTGAAGGAGCTGTTATTTGTCTTGCTTGAAATAGTCCCAGCGTGGGCTGAGCCCTTGTGAGAACACACGGCTCAACAGGACATCTGGCTTGTGGAGAGGAGAGGAAGCAGGAGCAGGCGTAAAAGGAAAGGCAATTTACTAGCGAGAGTATGCCCCAGAGGCAACAATGGCCACTCTTAAAAAGAAAGGAGAGGACATAACAGTGGTTGCATTCCTGAGAGAGGAATGAGTCGCTTAGTATTATTGTCATGACACAGAGTCCAGAACAAAGGCTGCATAGTGGAGTGGACCTGGGGGGAGGGATTGTAACAATGAAAGAATTTCTCTTTTACTTTTCAAAGAGAAGAGTATGGGGTGGGGGTGGGGGCTCAAGGAGAAAAGTGCAACAATGAATGAATAGAAATCCAAAGCACTGTGGCAATTGGACAATTAAAACAGACATTTGGGGGGGAGAAGAACGAACTGGGGAGGAGGGTAGAGAAAACAGTGCAACAATGAATGAATGAGAACCCCAAATCTCTGTAAATGTTCATTAAAACTAATAAAATTTAATAATAATTTAAAAAAAAAGAAATCCAAAGTCTCTGTAAATGTTCATTAAAATTAATAATATAATTTAAAAAAAAACAAAACGAAGAGGACACAGTGCTAGTTCTGCTCCTGAGAGATGAATGGTCACTCTTAGAAAATAAAGACGTGGAGAGGCTCTGTTACGGGTTACTATGGCTGGCTCGCTTCCTCCTCATTTGTGCCTGCTGTAGGCTCGAGTCTGGGACCAGGGGATGATGGAACAGGAAGTTCAACATTTGGTGGGTGGTTCTAATGCCCTGTCCTTTGTCCCTGATGTCACTGGTTGCAGTTGGAGTCTCCTGTGCTGAAAATGTTACCTGGGTCACTTCAGGGATGGTCTTTACCGCGCATGTCAGGCCTGAGGCACAGAGGTATTCCCTACAAGGTGATTCTGTTGGTTCCCCGGTTTTGCCGGCGTGGGGTCTGGTCCTACCCACTTCATTTGATTCTTGCCCTCTACCCACTGGCTCTTACCATGAGTTGTGTATGGTTTCAGCTGCTATAGCTGGCATGTACCTTTAAGATGAGTGTCTGCCTGCCTTAGCTCGTTAGCCTCCACCCTAATATTCTTCCCTGTCTGACTGTCTCATTTTGTGTGACTTACACATTTCGAACCTAACAGTTCTGAAGCTGATTTCTCATCTCTCTCTCCCTCCCCCCCCTTTCTCTCTCATTTCCCCTTGCATCTCTTATGAGATAAAAGGTTTTGAAAGTCACACCCTTGGAGAACTCTTTTACATGGGTTTAAGGCTGTGATCTGAGTGAGAGCATTTGCATCCTACCCTGTTCCCGTAACCATTGAGGGGTCACATCAAGACAGTAAATTACATCATCATATAGTGGCATTATGTCATAACACAACCACCAAACCTCTGAGAATCATGGTCCAGCTAAGCGGGCACACATTTTTGAGGGACACAGTTCAATCCATAATAACCATAATGCTCCTTGTTGTCCTAACCAGTAAGGTGGGAATGATACTGGATCATGATAAGAAGCCTGGGTGCTGGAAATAAGCCCATTCTTAGAAATCCTTTTAAAATAAAAAAGTCTCATCCTTAGAATGAAGGCCACTCATTTAGCATTCAGTGATGCTACTGACCAGTAAGCCCACAGGCTACAAAGATAAGACTTCCCCTGTCCTCGTGCGCAGGGTATTCTGAGAAGGGTCTCTGTCTCAGTAGAAACACTTAGTACTCTACTCCACAAATGTTGAAATTGTGTTGTTTAAGAAGGGTGGTTTGGGGGAGCTCTGGTGGCCTAGTGGCAAGGAGCTGCAACTACAATCCCAGAGG